ACCGCCCGAAACGCCAAGTACATCGAGCGAAAGAAGCAGCAGAAGAGCAGGTGATTTAGAAATATATCCTTATAGCCCTTACCCCCGCATAGTTTTGTATACTGGCTGACGGCGCAGCGCTACGTGTCGCACATACTGTAAGCTGACTGTGGCGCTACCAAGCGTGTTGACGCACCTATAGAGCGTAGCGCGTTTCATATAATAACTAGCACGAGGTATGTACTGTGTACCTATGCAAGTTGGCCGTCTCTATCTGTATACGCGTCACCCGTAGATGGTACGTACACTCGCTCACGTGGGCACACGCAAAACCATGGTATCAGTACCATCAGCTCTTATAGCGTATATTGCAATAATTGGCGCTTACAATTTAACCCACAGTATCGAGTGGGAAGTACGTGCGACGAATAAGTTGCTGTTTACATAGATACTACCACTGCGTGGCAGTGCAAACCGTACAGATGGACGTGGCAAGGCGATGTGTGTGAATGCAATATTGTACTTTAGTGTCCTGTTCATAATCGCCGAGATGAGAGGTCGGTTGAGTCGCGGATGACTATAAGGTGTACCCGCCTCGCGCGTATATATCGCGCTGGCTACTGCTAACAGATGCGCGTTCAGCATACCTGTATCGCTGCGGAATGGCCTGTGCCCATTGAGTGACCTGCTTGATTATACAGACTGATACACCAATAGCGTAAGCACAGAAAGCTAGCACGTCGACGCAAAAGTCCCGATAAAGAAACAGTGACGCCATACATAGGTTGGGCTATCACGAGCGCGTGGCAAATACACTCATTAACGACCTTGCGATATATGCACGGACACATCAAATAGCACGCCGAGCTGATAAGTAGGCAGCGAAAGTACTCCATCTAATGTACATGAACTATTATTCAATTCAAGTCTAACCATCACTGCGATCTGATACTCTGCCTACAGCCATATTTCTTCGTATGTTTGTCGTACATATCGGACCCAGTATAATGTCAGTTGGAAAGGATTTACGCCACTCTGTCAGTCAGTAGCTATGCAAATAAGTCAGAAAGTACGTCAGCTATGCAAGTCAGATCAATGCCATGCGGAAGATAGTGGAAATACCCTTTCAGTAACATCACAAACAGCTCAGCAGAATACTTTCAAAGCATAATATTGAGATTTGTGGCGACCATCGGCAAATACTACCTATCCTAAAAGATACTTCGCGCGAGGAGCTGATTAACATTTCTCTATTCGACCGTCGCAATCGATGATATGTGTCGACTGCCTCACGGCGATGACGTGCAGATGGGTAAAATACGTTTGAGTAGGCGTACTTACTCTAGCTACACTGGGATTCCTCACCGATCAACGTATATTTCGTAGCATCATTGATACTGACCCGTCTTCCGTACAGTATATATTAGCTTTGCAACCACGCGCGCCTCCGATTCGTGTCATTTTGGGAGCAATGCGCTCAAACGAGATTATAGACAAAAGCTTCCAGGATAAGACGGTGCTCTTCTTGCAGATCACGTTAAACCCTGGTCATGTCTACAATAACATGTGAGTACTACGGATACTGTGTGCGGTGCTGTTTTGGAGCATAATATACGTAGATCACAGTATACATGTACTATATGTTGCTTCGCTTCGAGTAGAAATTCTAAGCCCACCGCAGCGCAGCGGAGGTGGTCGGCCCTCTCTACACCAACCAACCATGCCCTAGCGTCCGCGGAGCGGGCGCCCAGAGCGCTAGTCGCTCCGCTTCTAACCTTGTAGCGTGTCTGTCCGTCCGTCCGTCCGTCCGTCTGTCAATCAGTCCGTCCGGTTCCTTTCTTGCTGCTTTTTCCTGCCTTTTCGCATGGCTACACTTGGCCTGTCTAATACAGTTTCCTCCCATCCTACCGACCGCGCCTATCTTTCTGACTCGACCTAACTATGCCAAAATTACAAATATATCCAAAAGCGTGACACAATTAACTCGCGCCCTGATTGGTCAATACCTGCCGACCTGCGACACTGACTGGATCTGTCGCACGATCAGACCGCCTCTCTCCCTCGCGATTGGACGTAAGGTAAACATTTCTGCCCCGAACGAAAC